GAGAAAAAATGCCCCTTGAAACTGGGGTCCACTTGGCTATTGCCATATCCCTTACTGGATCGGCAAGGGTCCACGTGCACATTGCCCATCCTTCTGTTCCTATTGGAAGATGATTTTACGAAAACATACGCCACGTCATCTTTTATCCCATTTCATTTATTTGGAGTCACTTTTATTATTTTTTTTCCATTCGGGTCAACCTACACGTTACTAAGTTGCTCAAAAACTTTTCCTATCATAGATAGGGTGGGCAACCAACTCGCTCCCTGCGAGTTCGACCGACCTGATTGAATCAATTTTTTATTTTTAAATCAAGTTTTAGATCAGATAATGTTAAAGAAAAGTTAAAGTCGAGTCGGTTCACGTTTTAGATAAATTTAATTCGATTCTATTTGATATTATATAAAATTAATTTTTAAATTAATTTTTTATTTATATATTTTTATATAATTATATATTTAAATATTTATATTTAAAAAATAATATTTTATATTTAAAAAAATAATATTTTATTAATTTCGAATCGAATCGAATCAAATTTAAATTCAAATATTTAAAAAAAAAAATTCAAATCAAATCGGGTTCGAATTTAACGAATATAAAATTAAATTGGATTTGAAATGAATAAAAATTCGTTTCAATTAGATCATTTCTGACCAAAAATCACCTTCCCTCGGTACAATCTGAAACTCTTTTATTTTGTTTTGTTGAAACAAACACACTACAAACTAATCTCATCTCTTATTTATTTTTAGTTGCGGAAGTTGCAACGGAAACTTCTCCCTCCATAAACCTCAACAAATTATTTTTTTTCAAAAGTTAAATTTTGATATGATGGAGCACAGATCATCGCCTCTCCACTGCAGTTTGAAGTTTTTTTTTTTATAATTTTGTTTGGTTGAAACAAACTTACCACTATCTATCTCATTTTTGTTTTCACCCATCTAAATTTGATTTTGCATAGGCTAAATCTGCACAAAGATCATAAACTCAGAAAACCACAAGCTTTTACTTTTCACCCTTTTTTCTTTTTTTTAGTTTTGTGAGGTGAAAAACTTTAATTTATTTGAGAATTAAATAGATTTTAAAAGAGAAATTTTTTAAAAATTTATTATGGTGATTGGGTCTGAAGTGAAATTAAAGCGATAAAAGATTATCAGCAAAATATAGAAAATGAAGCGGTAGTGTTGGAATTAGGTAAGAAGTTTTACAGAAAATTTTAGTAAGTGAAAGTGATGTAAGTGGCAGTAAATGAATAGAATGGGATACAAGCTGAGGAAGCCTAACAGTTTTACAAAAATTTTTTTCTCTTGATCCTGTTCTGTCAGTGGGACCACCAGCATCCTACTGCTATACCAATCGTTTGCTATCGGCTTCCATGAATTGCACATGAAAGCTTTAATAATATTGGACACACCGTTGATTATAACTATGATATTGATAGCAAGCCCATACTCAGCAAGGTCTTACTAATAATAAATAATAATAAAGTATCACTTGCCTTAAAGTATATCTAACTAATACTTACACACACACACATACATATATATATATATATATATATAATCCAATCCAATCCAAAAATTATTCCTTCCTTTCATAAGAAGACGGACAAAAATGAAACACCCATCACTCCCCCAAATCTTCTCAGTTACGCACTAATTGATACTGGCATTTTTCTTTCTATCTACTAATTAAGGCCTCACATTCTTAATTAATCTAATCACTCTGCTAATTCTTTCTTTTCTTATTATTTTTGTACTTTAGCGACTCCCATCCCGTGCGCTTCTATCTAAAGCATATGAAGTCAAATGGCTTTGGTGTCCACAGGGTTAGCTTCTAATGAAATGCATTCAACCAAAACACAAGTTCAACTTCAATGTTATATCATCATCATCATCATTGATCAGGACAACCAGGACATTTTGGTTGCTTAATCCAGGGAGGTGGAGGTGATCTCTTTGAACATGCACTAATCATGCGTTTTGATTGGGCTCATTTGATACCCATGCATTTTGAACTTTTTATGAAAATCTGATATAAGTTTAATTAAAACTCAAATAGCCACTTCCTAACTAGTTAGTTAGTTTAATTCAAACAAGAGTTGAATTGATTGTTGATGAATGTAGACATCAAATTTATCTGAGTTTTAATCTGTCGAGTATATTGGATTTTCGAGCCTAAGCCAAATTTTAATTCAATTGGGCTTTAGGCCCACTTTTTAATTCTAATTGGCCTAAAGTATGATTTGGATAGGGCCCGAGGCCTAGCTTTGGGCTTTAAGCCCAAAACCTTTCTTTTTTTCTTTTATCAATTTATTTTTATTTATTTATTTTTTTACATTAATATTGAAAAATATTAAAAATATACAAAAACAGAAAGAGAAAAATACAAAAACAGAAAAACAAAAGCTAAAAACAAAAAAGAAAAAAAAACAAAAGGCCTATTTCCACCCCCTATTCATCCCTGTTCACCACCCACGCCTTATGCTCATAGCCATCATGCCTTATCCACCCTTGAATACCTGAATTGTCAAAGTCAGACAAAACAGAAAAAACAAAAGGGGACAGAGAGGCTAGTGCTGGCACCCCTTTTTCTTTTAGTCCCTATGCCACCTGCCTAAGCACAGGATTGGCATAGGACCACGACGGGAGCTCTATAAATAAAGCTCCTAATTGTAAAAAAAAAAAAGAGAGGAGGGGAAGAAACTTGCCAAAAAAATTATTCTACAAATAATAATAATAATAATAATAACACAGTCCCTTGGAAGGAAGAACCCAGCACTAAAAACACTTGCAAAAAAAAAAAAATCAATCAAAATCAGTTATAATAAAAAAAACAAGTCAAAATACAAAAAAAAAAAGAGAAAGAGGGTTTTGACCGAAAGTTTAAGAGTAGATCTAGGTCATTTGTGTCTCTTTTTGATAAAACAGAGGTTAGATTTAGGTTCGGAGAGTCGAGGAGAGCATTTTGATGTTTTTTGAAACTTTTTGACACCAACGACAACGATCGGAGCTCATCGTAAGCAAAGACCACGACGAACAGCCACCGGCCCTTGAATTGTTTAAAGAGGAAGGGAGAGAGATTTTTTTTAGAAAGGGGAGGAAATGCTAAATTTTTTTTTTTACTTTTATATAGAGGGCTAGCTCAAAACGACATCGTTTTATTTAAATGACCAAAACAACACTGTTTTAAGCCTAAGATCCGTGCGTCAACCCGTTAATCCGACCCGGGATCCGCGCAATCGATCCAACAACTTGACTCACCTTTTGACCTTAATCAGTCTAGTTGAATCGGCTCAGACTAACTTCGAACTGTCGAGCCACCCAAACCAAATCGAGCTGCAAACCGATCGGACCCCTCGTTGATCAGACCGTTGACTGGTTCGATTAAGGTAAAAAAAAATTTTTTGAAATTTTTTTAATGTTTTTTATATATTATTTTTATAATATTTATGCGTATTAAAATATATAAATTTGTTAGAATAAGTTTTTATGTAGTTAAAATTTTTATAATTTTGTTAATTTTAAGATAAACTTTAATAATAATAATAATAATAATAACTTTATAATAATAATAATATAAATTAAATAAAAATGTAAGAAAAGAAAATTTTTATCCGATGATGAGATTCATAGGTACTCCGAGTAGTGATACTTATGAAATCTCTATGTGAGAAGATTTTTTAAAATACTACCAGTGTATTAGAGTATTTATAAAAAAAGTTTCAATACAATAAAAAAATTTTTTGTTACAAAATAATAAAAAAAATTAACTAATAAATTAAGAATAAGTAATAAAAATGAGAGAAAATAAAATTTTATCCGATGACAGGATTCTAAAAGTATTCTAAGTAGATATGCTTTAAGAAATCTTTAAATGAGAAGATTTTTTTAAATATTATCAGTGTATTAGAATATTTATAAAAAATCTTCAATATCATAAAAAAATTTTTTTCTTCAAAGTTTAATTTAATAATATTTTTAAAGAGTAAAAATAAAATGTGTGCATCAATATATTAGCATTTGCATTGCATGCATAACATAGTTTTCACGAAAGATAAATTCGAGCCTTTGAGGATTAGATTTTAAGGTATTTCGAGAAGTGATGTCTAAAAAATTTATAGGTGAGAAAGAGTTCTTTTAATGTTACCAATGTACTGAAATATTTTAAGAATTATTTTAATAAAATGGTTCTAATTTATTTTTCTTGAATAAAATTTGAACAATAAATAATAAAAAAATTAAATAAAAAATTAATTTTTAATAAATAAAAAAATCAAAAAAATTATTTTTTAAATATCGAAAATGAGACTGTTTTTTATCAAAATTAAAAGATAATACATAGTTAAATGAAACCATTTTTAAACGGACGTTGTGAGAATATTAATATTTATTCACACGTAATCGATTTTTAAATTTAATCTGTTTCACAGATTATAAAATTATATTTTTAATAAATTTTAAAATATTATTAAAATAATAAATTTTAATAAATAACTAATTGTATCTCCTTAAAAAAAATTAATAATAATTTTATTTTTAAATTCGTCGATCGATTTCAAAAGAATGGAAAAAGGGGAATATAGTGGGAGAAAGGACCACTTGTTTGCAGAGTTAATTTCTCTCACCCTCGTCCAACTAGTATAGTCTCTCCAAGAATAAAGGGGAAGAAGTTTTTTTAATTAAAAAAACCTCATCACAAGCAAACTCAAATAACTTTTTTAGTCGCCTTCCTTCAGGCATGGTTTTCAAACCTTAATTTAATTGTAAAAACAGAAGAAAGAAAAGGGAACAAGCATAGTGTGATGGTCTATATAGATGGTCTACACTCCAGAGATATACGATGGTCTATATATATGGTCTACACTCTATATATATGATGGTGTTATATTCCACTATGAAAACTAACATAAGAGGCCAACAACTTTCGATTTTCATTGGATAATATATAGCAAAGGATAATATATATAAATATGCAAGTACCGAAATACATGGAACAGGGACACAGCATCAGCATCTATCCTTCATCATTGCTGGTTGCGAGACTATTATTACTTTATTCACTCGAGCAGAGATTTAAACCAATGGTCACAAAAAATTAACAATACATAATAATAATAGTTAAATAGACACTTACAAAGTGAAAGCTAAAAAAGAAAAAAAAAATATTAGTACCGTACCAATTGTGAGCGGCTGACTGTCTTGTATCTCTCTGTCTTGGTCTGGTGTGGTCTGGTTCCCTGCAACTGTGCAAGCCTTACGCCGCCTTCTGCGTCCACTTGGTTTTGGCTTCTTTCTTTCTTTGTTTCACTCTCTCTTGAAAACTTTGTTCGAGCTTAAGGATTGTGCTTTTGTAAACTTCTATTTCGAACCCAATTGCTCAGTTTTAATGCGATTGGATTAGCGTAGTTTGACATGCTTCGAGGAACTCAGTTTTCCTCAACAATTTTCTTCTTTATCTTGATGCATTTATCTGAATCTCTACCCTGATTACTGGGTTTGCCTGTAATTTCATATCTGTAGCATGACTTTTGAGGACCTCTCTTATTCAGAACCATGATCCATGATTTTCTGGCTAGTTTTGATCTAACGATGATTGGAAAAGTGGAAAATATTGAATTTTTTAAGTTAAGGAGCTTACTTTATTTTGTAGGTTTTTGTTTTCTTTAGGAGCCATTAAATATTCGGTTTGACCGATTTTTTATCTTTAACTTAAATTCAATGTATACTTTTTTATTCCATTACTTACTGATAAGGACTTCTGCATTCGAAAGGAAGATTTTATTCTTTAAATTATAGTTATTAAAATACTAGCAGTTTTCTCCCCTTCTTTTCTTCCCATTTTATTTTTCTCCTTAATAGTGTAGTGGGTTCTTTGCTCAGGCTAATTTGTCTGGAATCCCTGATGGTTTCGTTCATGTATTTTTCTTTTGGGTTCTTTGAACCATGCATTAAGAGTTAGGAATAGTGATGCAAAGTACTAGCAATGGCTAAGTGCTTGAATTTGGGATATTTCTGAGTAAGAAAAACGGTGTTTCAGCCCTTCATCATGCCTTTGTCTGAGCTATATCGGAAGGCTAGGGGGAAGCGTGATTCATCTCAAGATAAAAACCCTTCATGTTCTACTGGTCTGTCTTTTGTGTAAGTTCAGTTTACTCTATTTCCTCAATCTCTTTAAACATTAAACTTCTTTTGTTCATGTTATTTAGTCATATTTAATCTTTCTCATTTGGTTGCATCCCTTCTCTTTATGTGTTTGAACGCAGACCTGAGAATGACTTTGTTGAACTTGTTTGGGAAAATGGTCAAATTTCGATACAAGGTCAGTCAAGTAGATCTAGAAAGATTCCTGCTTGTAACAGCTTGCCATCTCATTGTTTACCATCGCACACTCCTAAGAGCAGAGATAAAGATACAGGAAATGGAGGAACTAATTCAAAAATGGGAAAGTTTGTGGCAATGGATTCTGTATTGAGTGAAATTCCTATGTCAGTGCCGTCTGGTGAAATGGGCATGAATCAAGATGATGAAGTGGTGCCTTGGTTGAACTACCCAGGGGATCAATCTTTACAGAATGAATGTTCAGATTTCTTGCCTGAATTATCTCGGGTCACTGCAAATGAGACCCCTACTCATAGTAACTTTGCATCATTTGATAGAAGAAGCCAATCCATTAGAGATTTCAGTACTGCTTCTATAAATGATGGTGCGGGTTTTGAACAAGGAAATCTGTCAAAGGTTCCTAGATTAGCTGATGGCGAAGCTGGGCCTAGAACTGCTACCGCTCAATTATGCATGCTGCCATCACAGGTATGTCAAACGTCTTTATCATATTTTAGATCAAGAATTTTGGAGAATATTGGTAATAGCCTTGGTCATACCTCCACCCACCATGGCATTTGCGGAGATTCTATGGGAGTTCAAACATCAGATGGTGGTTTGCCTGGTAATAAGAGGCAGAAACAAGATCCGACGCCACCTTGTAATAATACCGTTTTGATGAATTTTTCCCATTTTTCACGTCCTGCTGCTCTTGTTAAAGCTAGTCTTCAGAACATAGGTGCTATGGCTAGCATTGGAAGTAAGGAAAAGGGATCTGCTGCCAGTATTTGCAACCCTGCTGATACCATGCTCATTGATTCAAATATTGAGTTACAGGAGGAAAAATTTTCACGTTGTCAACCTACGATGGTGCCAGTGAAGACTGATGTAATTCAATCTGAAGCTAAGTCTCTAGATGAAATGGTTGCTGCTGAGCCAACTGATGCCATCTGTGAAGAAAATGTCCTCAAGAATGATAAAAACCCTAGTCAAGTTATTGGTGAAAGTGCTTCTAAAGGACTGCTGGGGGGTGATAACGCTGTAGAGTCTGTGTTTGCTGCTTCCTCTGTTTGCTCTGGAAATATTGTAGAGAGAGCTTCTGACAATCCAGTAAATAATTTGAAGAGAAAAAATCACGATAATGAGGAGTCTGAATGTCCTAGTGAAGTAAGATATAGTATATCATTTTTTTGCTTTCTTTGTGCTACTGTGCTTCTAATTCATCTTTCCTTTGCCAATAAAACCAAGTAACCAACTTAACGTGCAGGATGCTGAAGAAGAATCTGTAGGTGTGAAAAAAGCAGTTCCTGCTCGAGGAGGTGTGGGGTCTAAGAGAAGTCGAGCAGCAGAAGTGCATAATTTATCTGAAAGGGTGAGGAAGAGCATTTGATAAATTCAATAATTTGTAATTTGTCTTCCAAATGGCTGTATCTGAATTGTAAGATCTGGACTTACACAAACAGAGGCGAAGGGATAGGATAAATGAGAAGATGCGTGCTTTACAGGAGCTCATACCAAACTGCAATAAGGTTGGCAACTCATGAGGTCCTTGATTGCTTCTGAATTTTGTTATCTTTATAACTAATTCAAGGAATTTCATTTAGAAACAGATGTGATTGTGGAAGTAGAAACAATGAGCTCAGGCATATCCTTGTTTATTTTACCATTAGTTTAAAACAGAAAGCTTATTCATACTTCTTATCTTTGACTGCAGCTTTAGTTAATCTCATTAGACATGGGTTAAATGGATTTGTGATTGAAATAAAAAAAAATAAAAAAACAGACTAACAAAGAGATGATGGCTTTTGTATTTTAAATACTCTTGACTTTTACATTTTGACATTACAAGGTGGACAAAGCTTCTATGCTTGATGAGGCAATTGAATATCTTAAAACACTTCAACTACAGGTGCTGGTAAGATTTCTCTCTTCTTTCTCCCAACTCCTGACACTTACTTTTCTTTTTGGTGTATATTTGAACTTTGATTTTTTGAAGGGCAACCGAATAAGTTCAATTTATCAAGTACCAACCTTATGCAGTTTATGTCTATGGGAGCTGGCTTATATATGCCACCAATGATGTTACCAACTGGAATGCTGCACATGCATGGAGCTCATATGGCACATTTTTCACCCATGGGTGTTGGAATGGGTTTTGGGATGCCCTTGCCTGACATGAATACTGGATCTTCTACCTGTCCTATGGTTCAGGTGCCTCCAATCTGTGGAACGCCTTTTTCAGACCCAGGCCCACATATGTCAGGCCCCACTGCTCTCCATGGGATGGCAGGATCTAACGTCCATCTATTTGGGCTTCATGGTCAAGGATTTCCCATGTCAATGCCACGTGGACCTTTGATCCCTATTTCCGGTGGGCATCTCATGAAATCAACCATGGGTGCCTGTGGACTAGTAGGTCCTATGGATAATATGTATTCAGCTAGAGCTACTAGTTCAAAGGATCCACTTCAGAATATCAACTCACAAGCTGTACGGAACACTAACATGAATAGCTCAATGAATCAGACACCTACTCAGGTTAGGAGATTCTTTTTCCTATTTAACTCACATTTTTTTGAAAAAAAAAAAGTTTGAGTATTTGCTGAAGCAGTTTTTAATTGCCACTTGGAGAAGGTTGCCTTGAGGCTTTATTTCTCCTCTGAAGCGAAAGACAAATTAGCTATTTCACATGGTATAGAAGCTTACCCTTGATGACTAGTTAATGTGATGCTGAATTCTTTCCAATTCATGTAGACAAGTTCATGGTAAAGCTGATCAATGTTCCTTGTTGGGGTTAGATTAGAGAAATCCTTTTTCTTTTCATTAATGTAGGAGTTTTATGCTTCTTATAAGACAGGAGTTGGAATATATACGTACAAACATGAATGCAGACACTTATGTTTATCTTATTCTACATATACATATATGGATGACAGAAGAAGGGTGTCAGACTCTATTAACTTGTCAGCCATCTGAATATTTTGCTGTATATTTTGGTGGATTTACTTCCTATCATAATAGTCTGACTGAATCTAATCAAATTTGATATTGTTTGTGATGCCAGTGCCCAACAACAAATCAAAGTTTTGAACAGCCAAATGCAGTTCGAGAGAATGTTCAATCCTCAGAAATCACTGGTAGTGTACCTTTTAGATCAGCCGATGGAAATGAAAAATTACCTGATAGGTCAGATTACTTTTTAACTTTTTATCTGCATCATGTGTTAGTAAATTGTGGTTTGAAGAAAGTATGAGCACTAAATATGCAGGTTATAATTCTTAGCTTTGTCGACCGGAGGAGAGGAATCCATTTTGCTTCCGGTGGATGCTGAAGGTTTTGTCTTCCTGAGGAGGTTGAACCTCTCAATGAAGGACAATACAGTCACAATTTGCACCGATTTTAGTATGTTGAGGAGACTTGAAATCTTTTCTTGCATATGTACATTCATTTATATGATCCATGCAAATAATGCAATGTCTATCTAAGAGATAAATACCTCAATAGTATTTATTCAAATGTTTGTTGTAGACTTCTTGGTAACTAATTCTTTGAACTGACGAAATGATAATTATTTTCCATTACATATTTGGCAATCAGTACTCACTAGTCGATTGAAGTATGATTCACAAATTGCGGGGTACGTAAGGAACTTTTCAACCAGACAAAGCATTTGATAATTGATGGGGGTTACTAACTAGGTTTATTTTGAAAATTTTCTCTTTATTCTTTTTCAATGTGGAATTACTATCCACATTTATTTTGAAAATATCTATCAGTATTTAACTAAGAATTAATGATTGTTATTAGCATCTTAAGCTCAAGGCTCTGACATAGACAATTAGTCATAATGTGTCAGCCATCATCACTCATTGCACTGAAAATACAAAATATTTTTTGAGATATTCATGTTTGTTTACGTGATCAAATTATATGTTTTTTTTAAAGTGTTTTATTATACAAAGTAGGTAGATTTGAAATTATATTGTTTGTAGTTGCATTGAATAAATGAAATTTAAAATTATAAAAATAAATTTTAGAATGACAGTTATGAGAGTAGTTGACTATTCTTTGGGTGGTAATTGGCTGTCTTTTTCTCACACATTTTGTTTTAAATTTAATTTATTTATGATGGTCGAATGCCTTAAAGATGATAGTTGAATATTCCTTGTAGGATTTCATATTCTTATGAAAATTTACCTATAACATTCAAAAGCCTTGGCTCAAGCATTCAAAATTTCAAATGCCCAAATGCAAAAACCATCGTCCATTGTATATGCAATGCTTTATTCAAAAAATGATTCTTCACCCAAGTGATCTCTATTCGTGAAGAGATGTTTCAAACATCAATTAATTGATGTTTTTAAATATTTTCATTAACGTTCATTTAACACAATTAGTTTTTTTCATGCGCTATTTGCGTAATTATTAATCAAATTATAATTATAATATAACAAAATAATTTTAATATTTTATAGTAATAAAATTTAAAAAAATTATCATTATACTAAATTAAATTAAAAATATAAATTTAAGTTTAAAAAGAAAATAAATATAACAATTTTTAAATTGAAAATCCAATAGAGAATAAATATTTAATTTTTTCTATTTTAATTTTTTAAAAGTTTTTTATAAGTATTCTAGTGTTAGGTCATCATCTTCATTATATATATATATATATATATATATATATAATTTTCAGCTATAGAAGATTGTCTCTTATCACAATCAAATCAGATTTTGTATTTTTTTTTCATTTCTAGTTTATGTTTTTTCTCAAGCTTTTTTTTAGGTTTTTTGGTGATAGAATTTTATCTTTAATTTTATAAATTTTTTAGACAATCAATTATCAATAAATTCATTTAAACTCTTATCTCTCATCTATTTATTATTGAAAATTTAAGTTCTTTATTTTAATTTTAAATCAAATATTGTTATAAATTTTTTTTGCTTGAAATAAAGTAAATATATAATGTTTTTTTTTTTCATCATTGATTTCCATGTTTAACATGTACTTTTTATGTAATATAAAATATTTTATAATTTCATTTTATGGTAAAAAATACATACCGACACAACTTTTACTAATTAGAAAATATTAATTTATAAATATATTTTTAAAAAAATTATGAAACAATCAAGAACTATAAGAATCTCGATATAATAATAAATGATGTTTATTTATGTATTCACAAGAGATATTACTTTTAATGAATATTGATTTTTTAAACAACCACTAAATGTGCATAACTTATTAAAATATGTTATAATAAGAGTTTAAATAACATGCTTTACTTAAAGGTATACTTTATCCTAATTAAATAGATTTTTTTTATGTTGTTCTTTAAATATTAAAATACTTTTCTCAATTAACTTTAATTCAATATAATTATTGTTTCTTAAATAATGAAATATAAAAATTTTAAAATTAATAAGATATGACTTATTTTAGACAAATATGAAAAAATATTCTTATATTTTAAAGATAAATTATGTTTTAAATCTTAGACTTTAAAATTGATAATGAGTATATTTTTAGTATTTGAACTCTTTTTTAATTAAAATGAATTTATTTATTTATTCTACGAATACTTAATTATATATGTAGTACAACTCATATAAAAAATTCATCATTTAACTGATATTGTTTTAAAATTATAATTTATAGAATTCATACAAAAGTTTTTCTTGAACTAAAAAGAAAAAAAAAGAAAACGAATCAGTGTGATAATTCTTTATCCTTAAATTAATCCTTCTCATAGATTATTATCCCAACAAATAAGTAATTGTACAAGTAAAATCTCTATAATTCAAAGAAACAAGGAGTAAGCCCCAAGCCATAAAATAAGAAAAAAAATACATAATTCTCATGTTTGTAGGATTAAACAAAAAGATTTGCCCTCAATAATAATTCAAATTAACTCATATTGTATTGTATGAATACAAAATATTTTTTTTATATTTTTATTAATATTAAACTTTTTATTTTAATTAATAAAAATTAATAATATCATTAATAATAATAATAATAATAATACAAATAAACTAAATCTTTTTAAATTTGCCTTGCATTTTATTTTAGAAGGAATATGACATTGCATGATTAATATTTCCTTTTGTCTAGTTGCAATAAGATTTTCTAAAACTAAAAATGGCAGCGATTGTAAGACTTGTCAATGGATGGTTAGTTGCTGCCAATGAGATGCGATTTTTCTCTCAAATAGGACTGATAATTCATTTGAATAACAGGAAATGACAAATTTCTATTGCACCATAACGTTTTTTTAATTGAATCTTAAAGCTTCGGTGAAAAAACTCATTAGTCATTGCACATTTTCTTTCAAATAAGCCTTTTAATTTTTAATTTTTTAATTTTTTATCTTTAGTGTAGGTGTCACAGGTCGAGATTTAAGTTTTAAGTTTGTGTGGCTCCAAAACCCGGATATGGACTCATCTGGTATTCTAGATTAACCTAACTGTCATAGTTCATACTCTTGTAAGATTTTATTTGCTTCGATTTTCTCTTGACCTCATGATTTTATCCCATAAAAAACGCCTCACAAATAAAAAGTGGTGTGAACCTTTATATCTCATTATCAATTTTAGTACAAAGTCAATTTGAGATTCATGACTCATCTCTGGGACAGTGACATCCTTCTTCACTGAGATTCACGGTTCCTTTCTAGGATTGTGACATCCTCATTCACTTCAACAAAAACCTACTATCTTTGATGGCACATAACTAATACCCCTAAAGCTGGTTCTAATACCATAGTCACGGGCCGAAACTCAACCTTCAGGCTCGTGCGACTTCAAGATCCAAGCATAGACTCATCTAGCATCCCTAAGGGCACAATCGATTGAGTTTGAGCTCGAGCTCAATTTGAAATTTGAAGCTCGAAACTCTGCTCGAACTCAATCAAATTTTATTTTTCTAGCTCGAGCTCGACTCGAGATAAAAATTGAGCTACTCGAGCTCGCTCGGTTGGCTCAATTAATATGTAAAAATAAAATTCGATTCTTATATTCGACAAAAACTCAATTATTTGTGCTCGAGCTTGAGCTCAAGTTCGAGATATTTTATTAATTAAAATAATAAAAATATATTTAAATATAAAAGTTCGATTAAACTCGCGAACTATTCAAACTGGATATAAGAATGCTCGAACTCAGCTCAATCAATGAGTCGAGCTACTCAAACTTAAACTCGACTTGATAATAATTGAGCCGAATTCGAATTTTATTTAATCAAACTTAAGTAGCTTATGAGTACTAATATATCATTTACATCTCTAGGTGTCCTAAATCAACTTAACTGTCATGATTCACACCTTTGTGATATATTATTTGCTTTAGTCTTTCTTAATTTTACGATTTTATCCCACAAAAAACCTCTTACCAAAAAAAAATAGTGTGAACTCTTATATCTCATGATCAATTCTAATATATAATCAATGTGAGATTTATGGTTCATTTCTAAGATAATGACACAGGGATCAAACTGTCCCTACCACTTAATCTTTTCTTCTCCATTCTCTTTGTTTGTGATTTTTTATTTAAAAAATTTTAAATAGCCTTATTAATTTAATATAATAAATAAAATTATACAATTATATAATAAAAATAATTAATAAATAATTAAAAATTAAAAAATAATAAATTTTATAATCAAATAAATATTTAATAAATGAAAAAAAATATCTTTATAATTATTATTTTAATATAATTTAATATATGCCAATATTTTGATTGAAGATTTTAAATATTAGATAACATTAAAATATACACAAAAAATTTATTACACTTTTAGATTAATGTTTTTTATGATTATTTTCTCTTCTTACTATAAGTCAGCTCACTATCATTACTGTTTTTGTATCCACACATATTTTAACACTAGTTTTAATTTTATCATTATAATACCTAATTTCAATTCTATCATTATTTTCAAATAGATCAAAACTAATTTTACCATCCATGATCTTTGAAATGTCTACAACTAGATTTGGACCTGCCCTGCGGGACCTTACCTGGACCTCATGCTGGATCACAAAACTTTTCAAATGATTTATGAGGCGCTAAAGCTAGGTCTTGTATGCTAAAAGGCCAGCCGACCGTCAGTTGATAGCACATGCTTGGGCTGGATTCGGAGGTTTGGGTGGTTGAATTGGGTTGAGCCTTGACTCCTAAGACCATTGAACCTCAACAGCCGGAGTCCTAATAAAAGCCTGATCTGATCATAACAATACTAGAACTAGAACCATGGCACAACTCAAGGTTATTTACTCGTGCAAAATATTACTAATGTATACCCCACTCAAGTCGAGTATCTTGGCTCGTTAATCCTTCCTAGTCCTTGCCGCCTTTATATTTGTTTCAGCTATATTTTCAAGTAAGCGTAATTAGAAACGGCAAAAGTTTTACGAATTTGAAAAAATCCAAATCAACCCAATCTCAAAATGATGATTTAAAAGAAGTCAATGATCCAACCCAAACCTCAACGTCTGCTTGGCAATTAGTAGCAGTTTGCAAAGTTAAAACAACAATTTAGCACGAGGTCCATAGAATCAATACCCGATGTAATGAAGTTGGACATGCGTCAAGCATTAACTTCAGCAGAGTGGGAAAAAATTGGGCAATGCTATTTCGCACAGAGTCATCACAAGAAGATTTGCTGATTGCACCTGCATTTTCCAGCAACCTTGCTCTTTTTATTGTCCTGTATCCGATTTCATTGAATTGCAGGATGCTGCAGCTACTTCTAGCTTGACCATGTGTACGAACCAACTAATATGTATAATTGGCTAATCTGAAAACCAGATTGTGGCAAGTCTTGTCACAAGGGTACGGACAATCAATGGCCTTCACGCTCGCTCTGTCAAAATACCAATCTCCAACAGCTATTGCAATTGGCTGCCACATTATCCATTATAAAGTCATTAGGTATCCATCTAATTAAACATTTTCGCAGAGAACAACAAAACTAGAGCCATGCTAGTAAATTTTAGTAATAAACTACTATAAAAGACGCCCGTGGGTTTTGTCTCTGTTTGTAGAAGAAAAAAGATTAGGCTATAGTTGGGTAAGGAAAGGACATTTAGAAGCCCATATATAGCCAATTGGCGTATGGCCTATAATAGAGTTCTACTATTCTGGACCCTTAGGTTATGTTTGGTACACAAAATTAAGATATGGTATGATAAGATAATATTATGAATAGAATTAGATTAAATAATATCATCTTATTTTGTGTTTGATGTATGCAAAAATTAATATAAGATAATTTATTTGTTTGTAAAATTATCCTTCCTCAAAGTTCATACAATTTAAATTATTGATGTAGTTTTTAAGGATTTAATTAGATATGTAAGTTTAATCTTATGGATTAAAAATAATTCTCCCCTCTTGGGGAGGATTGAATAATCCTTTGCCAAGAGAATATTAATCCTCCTTGCAATCCCTATCCCTCTCTTTAGATACAAATCAACATGATATAAGATAATTTTTATCCTATCTTATCAATAATCCTATGCATCAAACATGACCTTAATTCTAATAATAAATTCAATTTCTAGCAATATCAAATATATATATATATAAAAGCCCATATATAAAATTGAGAGGAATGATTTTGGCTTTTCTATGGTTTTTCATTCCTTTTCTTACTGTTCCAACTTCTGGGCAGATTTTCCCTGTCTGTGTGGAGAGCACTTGCAAATTCAACTTACTACAGTGAAAACTTGAAAACTACCACAGTAACTACTAGCTACATAAAAATCACAAGATGATAAGAAAGTTAGTTTCTGGGCTAATAAAGCCTAAAGGGAAATACACTTTTTCTTCTTTAAGGTGACTTACCTAGGACAGGGAAAGAGGGAAAAACTTTCAAAATTTGATTGTCAATTTTGAAGTTGAGAAAACATAAAACCTGGCTGTTTAACTAAAACCAACTGGAAATGATTTGAATGGCTCCATGTGAAGAGAATTTTGATGGAACTTCATGGTCATGGTATTCTATTTATATTTTGACGACCCCCATATTAATAAGAAAACAGGCGGAAATCCAATAGACAAATTCATATGACATAAATTTTATGAAATCTGATATCAATTATTTCTTAGACATACCTTGTTTCTAATTTCAGGAGAATCATCAGCAAACCATGTGTCTTGCCTTTCTGTTTGGCAGTGAGCAAAACATGAATTTATAAATAATCCATTCTCTCTAGTCATTGAGAACCCTTTTATAGCATTAAGCATCTGTGTCCGGAAGCCTGATTCATAGAACAAGATATTCACTTAAGCTGACTAAATATGGTCTATCATGTGTTGAAATGCCTGTAAAATTGAAAGCTCAAGCAATTCACACATAGGAAATCACCTTGTAAAAACCTGATCTGGGATGCAGAACATTTTGCATGGTTCAACCTGCAATCATGCCAATAACCATGTGGATCTGCCAATGGTGGAGCTATACTGGATTGAATCTGATATCAAGAAAGGAAACCAATTCATTTATCTAGTTTGTTAATCAACTTCATACAGCTCTCTAATAAAACACATAGCAATTTGCATTATCATGTCATACTTTATAAATTGATAATGCTATTTTCTAAGCAAGGATTATTACCTGCCATGAATCATAAGCTGCATTAAGAATAAACAGTGGAGTTTGTATATGGCTGATTAGATTTTGAGGAAAGAAACACTGAAAGAAGGAAGTTTCAGTCAAGTGAGAGATGAGTAGGGCAAGAGAATATGTGTCAAATTCACATGATGTTTCTTCTTAATCACTCAAATTATATGGATCAAAAAGAAATCTAGAAAAGACATATACTGAAGTTGGATCAAGGTGGTTGGTGCATATTCGTGGCAGGTTGTGTTGCAAACCCTGTGATATCAACAAGAAGACTTGAGCATTAAATATTCAAAGTTCAGTGAAGCGATAAAAATGAAACGTTTTTCCTTTCTTAAATTATATATTTTTTGTTCTGTATGTGTCCACATGTGCTCTTCATTAAAGCCTTTGGCATCAATACAAAAAAGATAGAAGAGGGCATGTATAAAAATTTAATACAAGAAACTAGGCATCCATTTTTCTATCCACATATATGTAAATACAAATATCAATATCAAACCTGCAAGCTCACCACGCCGCTGTATAAACTCCTAAGGGTGTGACCACCAGACACATCAACCCTACAGTCCAGAGAGGATATAAAGAAAATATATTAAGAACTAAGGAACGATCTATGTCTTACTGAGGCTTAAAACAATACTCTGAAGGATAATGATACTTACGCATCAAGGAATAGGCCAGCATCACTAAGACACTTAACTTTAGTAGTTCTCGGAAGCATGTTGCTGAACTCTTCACAATGTAAAATTGATGCCAGACCCCCAGCAGAACACCCCGAAAGAAGAGCCTGAAATTATTGTTCTTTGTTAAAAAAATAAATACAAAAATGTGGTGAGGCATAGCCTAATACTTTCCATACTTTACCTCCAAATTGGAGATCCCAAGTCTAATTCCCCTTTCTCTCCAACTATCAAAATATAGAAATAAACATGTAGAGGGTAACTCTTTTTGGAAAAAAAAAAAAGTCATAATCTAAGATAAATATGAACCTGCTTTGCATGGTGCATTCCTTTGAACATTAAATCTTCCATTGCAGCTAACCATATACGTTGGCCTCTAAATTGCAGTTGGGCTTCCTAAAAACAGAATATCCTAGTTTTTAACATATGGTCTACACATAAAGAAGAATAAATTTGAAGATAACCTAACAAAACTAAATGCTTGTCAAACATCTACAATAGAATATCGAGTCAATTATTTGAATCACTACGAAACAAATCTAAAGTTCAAAAGCGAACCGACAGATGGTTGCACTCAAATGGCAAAGAGAGTGTGCTCTTGCAGCCTAGGTTTGAATCAGCTGGGAGACTGTGGGAAGGTAATTTCCCATAAATTTGTTAGGCCCAGCATAGATAAGCATGCTTGGACCGGCCCAGAAAGAGGATATACTGGGCAAAGCCCAGGAACCCGTTGCTGTTAAATAAAAAAAAATAAACCCAAAAGCAAAGCAATTCATATTCTTCCACGAGTTCTACTTTTTTCTAATAAAAAACTTGTAGTATTTGTTTCTAAGCATAAACCCCTTGGTAGTGAAAATGTTAAGCGGGTCAATTATTCAAATATAAGCAAACACTAAAAAGCACATAAATATTCCCCCCCCCCCACCCCCCCCCCCCCCCCCAAAAAAAAAAAAAAGAAAAAGAAAATAGAAACAAGCAAATCTAAGTTGTAAGGCATCAAACTTCTTCTGAGTAAGGGAAAATGGCTTTCCAAGATCATGATTTGGTTTTCAATGGAGACTTAAGGTCCCAGATTTCTTTTGTATGACTTCATCTTATTAGAAACCACAAAGAAATCAAAATTGGCATTCTACGGTCAAAGCAAAAGCAAGAAATTGGTTTCTACCTTATTTTCGTTGTCCCCAGTAAAAGAGGCACCATCACAATAACGAAGCTTTACTCTGTTCCAATTGAAAAAGTCTGCAATTTTAATATGTAATAAAATAAGATGATGATCAAGAATGGTAAATTTTTTAGAGTTTGCTTAGTTGAAATATTTTTTTGAATAAAGCTAAAGAGGAGACCAGGATTTTCTTCAGCTTTATCACTCAATATTCCAGTAAATGGTATCTGCTTTTCCATGTACATAGATGATCCATGTCGTGTTTTTTTGCGGTAGACACAAGTTCTAATGTTATTGCACCATCCTCCTCCCTGCCACAAGAAGACAAAGTAAAGTTAGCATGCATCCAAACTTTTATCTGAAAGGATCAATCAGACTTACATAGTCAGCTTACTAACCCAGAGGCAACAGAAAAAAAAAGCACAATAACAATCAAAATGAAGAACATTTCAGAGAAACATACAACTTTTTCAGAATTTATATGTCAATTATAGCTTAGGACCTTGGATTTTTTAATAACATCCTAGAATATTTAAGTTTGACCATGCGAAAAAGTTATAACTACTATGTTTCCATCATTTCTATACTCTCACACAGATGACAGACCTCCAACTGAATGAGCCAGCTATTAGCTCCTGATCCATACCCGCGATGCCAATGATAACCTGGCAAGGTTCCATCCAGGCAGACTGTACAATTGAAAGACAGAAGCGGGTGAATTAGGACAAAAATGCTTAGAAAATTTCAGTATGCTAAATTTCATTGATTCTCAATAAAAGATGTATGATGCAAATTTGCAAGACAGAGCCGATGTGCAGGCAGAAGAACATGAAGGCGGCAGATGAAATCATCAAAAAAGAAAAACCACAGCAAACGATAATTGGAAAAATGTAGATTGACAAAATTTAATCATAGTATCATTAGAATTTAGAAAAAACCTTGTTATATGCATTCTATGGGCAATAAAACATAAACTTAGTAGTAAACTGGAATAAATAAATAAATATATCTATTCTCTCACTTGGACCGCTGAACTTGTTGGGTGAAAGGAGGCCTGGATGGAAGGCAGTAAAACGGAAAAATACAGGACAAGTCATAATGTACTCGGAACAATATTCAACAGCTGAAGATCTCCTTTCTTATTAATTAAATATTACTAATTCTTTTTCACAAAAGACTTTTTTTTTTTGACATTTTGGTAAAGTAGAATTGAAGTTACAACAAATAAACAGGAAAATGAAATTGATGTGAAGGAAAGAAGCAGATGCAAACTTCAATTAACACAATGACTGAACAGAAGCAATTCCATAGCTGATGCATAACGGCATAATGATACTTATTAGTGCCACTTTCATGAAACCCAGTTTTTTTTTTTTAAAAAAACATATCTAAATCCGGCAATCTGAAGTAAAATATAAAGAATGAGCAGAAATAAACAGTTGCAATCAAAGAGAGATATAGAAATGTACCAGCTCCTTTAGCGCCAGCACTCGGAATAAGAGTCAGTCCAACCATGAGAGGATTGTAATTGAGTTTGGAGACTCCATGCTCGTAAGCCTCAATAAAAGAAAGCTCTGTTTCATTAAAATCTAAGAACCCAGTAACTGCTTCAAGAAAAGCAAATGCAACAACAACAACCCCAACCAAAAAATGCTTCATCATTGCTTCCTCTGCTCCCCAAGTCTTGAGAGAGAAAATCAGAAAAGACCAAAGCTTGAATCTTGCAGATGCATTTCTAAATTTTAATGTTCGACTGGAACTTAATATAGTACATCATTAATGACAAATTTTAATGGTTAGTGTACAGATTTGATTAGGAAACATTGCAATGAAGGAGCTAGATACGGAAGAGAATAAATGACGGAGGTAAGAAAATTTGCAAAATCAAGGAGCTGTTCCTTTTTTTTCTTGGGGGTTGGTGGGAGGGAGGGCAATCGGAGACCGAAGCAAATTGCTAAACACTCGGCTTTTTCGAGATTATAATACAGGGACAAGGGACAAGGAGGAGTGTAATGACCAAACTTTGTATAAGGTCATGATCGGACATAAATTATCATGAATCATTCATGTATAAGGTTATAATCGGGTAAAAGTGCCAAAAGAGAGAATAGATCTTATGGGTTAGAAAAAAATATCTCCATTTCAAATATTGTAATGATTCTTGGTACCATAGTTATAAAATCTCATTTACTTTTTAGAGAGGTGAGTGGTTAGTGTATTATTGAGCTACCTCACTGATTAAGGTATATGCTAGACCATCCATTTAGGGCTGTTCCTTTGGCTCCGATAATGGTGAGAAGACTCGATGTACTATTTTTAATATTAATAAAATATTTTTTTATATGAGAACACTGGGAGTTACCTTGGTGTGCTCCAATTTTGCCTTGATATATCGTTGTGTATGCTTGAAATTAACTTGTGGCTTATTGGTTGCTTGTTCAAATATCGAACTATCCTTAACTGACTTGTGTGGAAGCGTTCATTCAAGTGCCGCATGATCTATTGCTTAATCGAGAGAAAGCTTAACCCGTGACACGTGATATCATAGCACAATTGAAAAGTGCTAGAGAATTGATGAAATGGCAACGAGTGGTGGATTTAGTGACCAACAGAGGATTGAGGAGCTTAAGGCTATTATGGCTGCTCTAAAAGCTTATGTGGTAACTTATGATCAATTGAAAGAGATCGAGACAACCTAACAAGAGTTGTTCGATACTCTATATAGCTTGGGCGATGAGACCAAATATGCTTTGAATGTCATTCAGAAATAGTTTGATGAGCTTAGGGCCCAAGTGAGTGTTCTACAAATGGTTATGGCCAGATCGAGTTCTAACTCAATGAAAAAAAAAAAAAGGCCAAGGTGCCAAGACCTCAATATTATGAGAGGGCAAAAGATGCCAAGAGCTTGAGAACTTCTTATTTAACATGGAATAATACTTTCGAGCTATGCCCACAGAATCAAAGGAAGATAAGGTTGCAATGGCTTTTATGTACTTTGTCATGGATGCTAAGCTATGGTGGCATTCAAAATTTGTAAATGATGAATGCCCTATTTAAAACTTGGGTAGATTTTAAGCAAGAGTTAAAGAACTAATTTTTCTTTGAGAAAATTTCCAAAATCAAGGAGCTGTTCTTTTTTTTTTTTGGGTGGGTGGGAGGGAGGGCAATCGGAGACTAAAGCAAATTGCTAAACACTCAGTTTTTTTGAGATTATAATACAGGGACAAAGGATAAGGGAAAATGAGGAGTGTCATGAGCAAATCTTGTATAACGTCATGATCGGACATAAATTATCATGAACCATTCATGTATAAGGTCATAATCGGGTAGAAGTGCCAAAAGGGAGAATAGATCTTATGTGTTAGGAAAAAGTATCTCTATTTCAAACATTGTAATGATTCTTGGTACCATAGCTATAAAATCTCATTTAGTCTTTAGAGGGGTGAGCGGTTGGCGTATTGTTAGGTTACTTCATGGTTAAGGTATGTGCTAGACCACCCATCTAACATTGCTTCTTTGGCTCCAATGATGGTGAGAAGACTCGATGTACTATTTTTAATATTAATAAAATATTTTTTTATATGAGAACACTGGGAGTTGCCTTGGTGTGCTCCAATTTTGCCTTGATATATCGTTGTGTATGCTTGAAATTAACTTGTGGCTTATTGGTTGCTTGTTCAAATATCGAACTATCCTTAACTGACTTGTGTGGAAGCGTTCATTCAAGTGCCGCATGGTCTATTGCTTAATCGAGAGAAAGCTTAGCCCGTGACACGTGGTATCATAGCACAATTAAAAAGTGTTAGAGAATTGATAAAATGGTAACGAGTGGTGGATTTAGTGACCAACAGAGAATTGAGGAGTTTAAGGCCACTGTGGCTGCTCTAAAAGCTTATGTGGTAACTTATGATTAACTAAAAGATATCGAGACAACCTAACAAGAGTTGTCCGATACTCTACATAGCTTGGGCGATGAGACCAGATATGCTTTGAATGTCATTCAAAAAGAGTTTGATGAACTTAGGGCCCAAGTGAGTGTTCTACAAATGGTTATGGCCAAGTCGAGTTCTAGCTCAATGAAAAAAGAAAAAAAAGCCAAGGTGCCGGGGCTTCAATATTATGAGAGGGCAAAAGATGCCAAGAGCTTGATAACTTCTTATTTAACATGGAATAATACTTTCGAGCTATGCCCACAGAATCAGAGGAGGATAAGGTTGCAATGGCTTTTATGTACCTTGTCATGGATGCCAAGCTATGGTGGCATTCAAAATTTGTAAATGATGAATGCCCTATTAAAACTTGGGCAGATCTTAGGCAAAAGTTAAAAAACTAATTTTTCTCTGAGAATGTGGAGTATATGGCCTGAAATAGGCTTTGTGGATTGGTGTAAATGGGAACGATCTGAGAGTTTGTGAGAAGCTCTAATGTTGGACATTAGAGACATGTCCAAAAAAAACAAAATGTTTTATTTCCTTGAGGCCTCAAACCTTGGGCCATGGCAAAATTACAAAGACAAAAGGTGCAAGATGCCGAACATCTTCATGATTTTAATGATAGCCCTTCAAAATGAAAGAATCCTCCATCAGGTGGCAATAACTCCAACTTTTGGAGTGGAGGAAAAATGGCCAGAATGGACTGATCTTTTAGTAGGGGATCTGATAAGAGGCTTTTTGGTCGAGACAATACTCAACCCAGGGTAAACGATGCATCAATTTTCAAGCCAAGGCAACCACTAGCTTGTTTTCTATGCTAAGGGTCATATTAGGTGGTCGAATGCCTACATAGAGGTGCTCTTAATGCTTTGAAACCTTGTCTCAAGAATTTACTAAAGTTCTCGAGACAGTCAAAGAAGTTGAAGAAAAGTCAGCTAGGATGGGCTTAATACGATTCCTTAATGCCTTTCGTACCCAACTAAACATGATAAAGAAAAAACCTGAAAGAGGTCTGATGTATGTGGACCTAATAGTCAATAGGAAAAACACAAAGGCCATGGTATATACGAGGGCAACCGATACCTTCATCACACCAGAGGAAGCGAAAAGATGTGGTCTTAAGGTTAATAAAGACTGTAGACAAGTGAAAGTGGTTAATTCATCAGCGTTTGCAATCAGTGGAAGCTCCAAGAGTGTGATGACCAAGTTAGAGCCTTAGGAAGGACATGTAGACTTCACGGTTTCCCCCATAGATGACTTTGATGTTGTTTAAGATTAGACTTCATGATGTTGGCTCAGGCAATCCCAATCCCCGTTACTAGTTATTTTTTTTACTTGGGAGAACGTTCGAGTGTTGTGCTAGCCATAATATTTCCTAAGAGTGAAAGAAAATGATTTCATCCTTATAATTCAAAAAAAGGGTAAAAAGAGGAAAGCCCTTCTATGTAGCGGTACCTATTTACAAAGAAGGGATTGAGTTGGAATTGGTACTCGATGAGATGAAAAAGGTATTGAAAGAGTTTGAGAATGTAATGCCAGAGTAATTGCCTAAGGTCTTACCTCCTCGAAGATTAGTAAACTATAAGATTGAGCTTTTTCTAAGAGTTAAACCATCATCTAAAGCTTTATATCGCATGGCTCTGCTAGAGTTGGTTGAATTGAGAAAACAATTAGATGAGCTTTTATAAGCCAGGTTCATTAGACTATTGAAAACATCATTTGGAGTACCCGTGCTATTTTAAAGAAAGCATGATAGGAGTTTATGATTGTGTGTGGACTATAGGGCCCTAAATAAAGTCACTGTGAGAAAAAATATCCATCCCATTTATTACATATTTATTTGATCATTTAAGCCAGGCCAAGTATTTCTTTAAATTAGACTTGAGATCTGGCTATCATCAGGTCAGATTGTTAAAGAAAATGAGCCAATGACCACTTGTGTAACGTGGTATGGTGTATTTGAATTTCTTGTTATGCTTTTTGGATTGACTAATGCCCCTGTCATATTTTGTACCTTAATAAATCAGGTGTTTCATAACTACCTCGACAAGTTTATGGTCATTTATTTAGATGACATAATGGTCTATAGTTTTACCCTGAAAGAACACCTACTTCTCATATTTCAAAGACTGCAAGACCATCCGTTGTATGTTAAAAGGGAGAAATGTACATTTACTTATACACGAATCCACTTTTTAGGCCAAATTGTTGAATAAGAACACATTCGAATGGACATGAAAAAAGTTAGGGCTATCAAGGAGTGGACAACATTAAAGAATGTCAATGAACTTCACTCATTTTTGGGATTGGTAAATTATTATAAGAGATTTATGGATAGGTACTATAGTAGAATCATGGCCCTCACAAAACTATTAAAAAAAGAACATAAATGGTGTTGGACAAATGAATGTCAAAAAGTTTTTGAAGGATTAAAAGAAGCTATGCTGAAGGACCCCATCTTGGTTCTCCCCAACATTAGGAAGCCTTTTGAAGTTCAAACAAAAGCATCTAACTTTGCTATTGGGGGAATACTTCTACAAGAATGGCACCTGATAGCCTTTAAACGTCGAAAGTTAAACGAAGCTGAAAAAGATATATGGCTCAAAAGAAAAATTTTTTGGCAGTAATTCATTATCTGATAGCATGATGACACTATTTGTTGGGTTCACAATTCATTGTAAAGATAGACAATGCGGTGGTTAGTCATTTTCTTACCCAGTTAAGGCTTACAACTAAACAAGCTAAATGGCAGGAATTTCTAGCCAAATTTGAATTTTGTTTCGAGCATACAACTGAAAGAACCAATCAAGTGGCAGATGCAT